GTGCTCTACAGAAACTAGCTTTTGATCTTTTGGTAAACATTCTTCTCATTATGCATGGTAGTTGCGGTTTGTTTAGCTTTTGGTTGATGCTGATGCATTGTTTGAAAGGGTCTGATATACCAGTTTCTATATGACATTTACTTATATATTTGTTGTGGTCTAGGTTTGTGATGATGTGGTCTATTGCTGACTTTGATGTTTACGTCACTCTTGTTGATCTATCAGATGTAGACCATTTTCTTTTAAAATATATAGAAAAAAATTTCCATCTAAATCTGTAGAATTTTGACAATTTAGTAAGTCTATATTTACATCCCCACAGATTATAACTTGATTCTTCTTTGATAAAACTCTTAAAATACATTGCTCTAATCTATCACAGAAATCATTGATTTCCCCCGAAGGGGAGCGATAAACGCATATCACAGCAAGGTTATCACTTGTTATACACACAGCCTCAAAGTTTTTCTCACAGGTTAGATCACTTAGGTCTAATTCTTTAAAATTTTGTCCTTCTTAGCCCGCCCTTCTGCTTTTAAAAAAGCATTAAAGCGGGCTTATGCAACCGCTCTCATGTCTGTCTGTCTGTCTGTCTGTCCGTCGTCCGTGTAAGGGGAAGGAGATGAGCTAGAGGTCTACAAATTTCAAGGTATCTTAGGGGTCACTCCTGGACAACGAAACGCCCGGTGCAAATCCTGGCAACCATCCCTGAGGGGGTGAAAGGGTGTTACAAAGAAATAAGGGCTGGTCCAAATAGTAGGAAAACAATATTTTTTTTATGGTCTCCTAAGAGGTAACTCGTAAAAGTAGAGCTCTATGGGCGAAAATTTTGTCCGTTCGACTCTACTTTGCACCGTTTGGGCGCTAGAGTGCTTTTGTCGACGAAAATACGGAGAAAATGACCACGTTGCACATAAAGACGCACTAGGAGGCTTCTAATCGTAAAATGGAAGAGGAAGTACCGCCCCAAAACAACACATTCTGAATGAGGAAGTTCCCTCGGATTTGCCGTATCTTTCTCTGTTTCGGCCCTAGAGGTGGATATATTGAAAACAATGGCAAAAAGTCAAGTTTCATGACTGTTTGACAAAAAATACAATCCAAAAACTATGCTGGTTCTTTTTTTTTCTGTATTTTTCTGAAGTAAAGCAGAAGGGTGGGGTGTAGTCACGGTGTTGCCCCGTTACAGTCTTTTGTCATGTGAAAGGAGCAAATCTCTAGGGCCGTAGGCCCCCCACCGGAAGTTAGTACTCAAATATGTAAAGTGATTTACCGGTCACATTATTTATTTGGTTATTTTTTTTCAGTAAATCGCGAGACTGAAATGGTCGGGCCG